ACACACACACACACACACACACACACACACACACACACACACACACACAAATAGTTTCCTAGTCATTTTGGAAGCCTTTCTCTAGCATGTTTCTAGCTTGTGTTTCCCAGTTAAGATATCTGAGATGTAATCTGGTAAGTAGCTCACTAACTAACACTGGTCGAGGGTCTGGGATGGGGTACCATACCAGGATACACGCACACAGTTTTCATTAGTTCCTACTCTCTGAATTTGTAGGGGATGTGCTCAGAAGGCACCTGCTGACCAGGAACCTAGCCTTAACCACAGCTGCTTCTCAGGAGCTACCAGGCTGCTCTGGGTTCCTGGGCTGAGATTCTAAGTCATGTGATGCATCTAAATGACAGCTTCCTCAACTATGAAATAATAAAAACGTCTGCCTCACAGGATCTCAGAGCAGAACACCTATTTTCTCTGGAGTACAATACTCAGCACCAAGCAGTGTGATCATCAAGTGATACTAGCAGAGATGACATTTGTACTTAATTCATTGTACTTAATTTTGTTTATTTTGAGACAGGGTTTTTCTGTGTAGATCAGGCTGGCCTTGAACTCACAGAAATCCACTTGTCTCTGCCTCTTAAACACTCAGCGGTTATACTCAGCTTTTATGCTCAGCAATAATGCTGTGATTTTAAGCTGCTGTTCTGGATTGTGCACCCTCTTCCAGCCAAGTGGAACACAATGATAGGGGAATTAGTACTTGGCAAAATCTCTCAAGGTGTCAAGCACAGTGCCAATTCCTTTATACAAGTGATTTGATACAGCCCTCCTGACAATCTTGCAGTGAGATTTAGTGTCATTGCTGTTATTTTATTCATTTATTTTGATTATTTATTTTATAAATAAGGAAACTGATACTCAGCAAGAAAATTGGCCTAAGACAGAGATTGTGTAAGTGGTAGAGCTGAGATTCAGCTCTATATTTCTCTGAATCTGAACCCACCATATCTTGCTTCCTTTGTCCTTTTTGGATGCTCATGACTGACCTTTGCAATTAGTTTCAGCAATCTGTTTTGCAGAACAGCCGTTCATGCATTTGCCCTGAGTACTCCTTGCATGTCCTGCCATTAAAGGTTCTGTTTAGGGGGCTGGAAAGATGGCTCAGTGGTTAAGAGCACTGGCTGTTCTTCCAGAGGACCTGGGTTCAATTCCTAGTACCCACATGGCAGCTCACAACTATGTGTAACTCTACCTCCAGGGGATCTGACACCCTCACGCAGGCAAAAGATCAATGCACATAAAAATAAATAAGTCATTTTAAAAAAAGGTATTTTTTAGGGCATAGCAGGTAGTTCAGCTTGTCTAAAGCAGCACAGGTTATGTGATACAAGATCCTGGGAATGAAAAGACCAGTAAGCTATGGTGCAGAGCCATGAGGAAGGATAGAGGAAGAGGGTGTGTTGGCTGTGAATGCAGGGATGAGAAGAGGTCTAGATGAGTAGTTTAGACCCAGTGTTAGGTTAGAGAGACGATGGTTCAACAGTTAAGAGCACTGGTTGCTCTCTCAGAGGACCCCGGGACTCCAGTTTCTTTCTTTGTTTTTGTTTTTGTTTTCGAGACAGGGTTTCTGTATGTAGCCCTGGCTATCTTGGAACTTGCTCTGTAGATCAGGCTGGCCTTGTACTCAGAGATCCAACTGCCTCTGCCTCCTGAGTGCTGGGATTAAAGGTGTGCACCACCACTATCCCACCCCAGTTTGATTCTTAACATGTACTTGGGGCTCACAACCATCTATCTGTAACTCCAGTTTCAGGGAATCTGATGTCCCTTCTAGGCATACAAGTGGTACATAGACATACATACAGGCAAAATGTTTATACACATAAAACAAACAAAATGGCGGTTAAAGCTTCCCAGACCAGAGCCAGGTGTGGTGTATGTGCCTGTAAGCTTAGCACTGGGGAAGCTGAGAGTTAAAGGTCAGGCTGGAGAGATGGCTCAGTGGTTAAGAGCACTGGCTGTTCATCTAGAGGTCCTGGGTTCAATTCCCAGCACCCACAGGGCAGCTCATAACTGCCTGTTCCTCTCATTTCAGGGAGTCCGACACCATCACACAGATATATATGCAGGCAATGTGCATGAAATAAAAATAAATAAATAATAATAATAATAAAAGAATTAAAGGCCTTGGTTGCATGCTGAAGCTCTCTGGCTCTCTCAAAAATAACAGTAGGGCTGGGAGGTGGTGGCGCATGCCTTTAATCCCAGCACTCGGGAGGCAGAGCCAGGTGGATCTGTGTGAGTTCGAGGCCAGCCTGGGCTACCAAATGAGTTCCAGGAAAGGCACAAAGCTACACAGAGAAACCCTGTCTCGAAAAACCAACCAACCAACCAACCAACCAACCAACCAACCAACCAAATAAATAAATAACAGTAGGATTGAAGCCAAGTAGCCCAGAAAGAGACTGGGGTTGCTTTCAAGAGGATGATAACTTCAGTGTTGGAAGTGTGTGATCAGATTACAGAGCCAGATGAGTTTCTGATGTATTATGTCATTCACATCTTCTTTTGACCCACGCTCAATTTTTTTTTCCTGTAGTGGTGATAGTGATAGAACCCAGGGCCTTGTACAGTAAAGGCTTGTGGCTGTGCGGGGGAATTCTCTTTACCAGTTACTTACCTAGAATGGTTAAACCAAAAATCAGGTCATATGAGCTTAACTCACTGTAGGATTTTTCACCTCACTGAGACATGTACGTATCTAATGATTAGAATATTTGTGTTCGATATCCATGGAACTCCTTTCTTTCCAGGTGTCATAAAGCCTGGGGAACCAAACCAAATTGCTATTAAGAAGGTTCCCCTGGGGCTGGAGAGATGGCTCAGAGGTTAAGAGCACTGGCTGTTCTTCCAGAGGACATGAGTTCAATTCCCAGCAACCACATGGTGGTTCACAACCATCTGTAATAAGACCTAGTGCCCTCTTCTGGAGTGCAGTGATACATGCAGGCAGAACACTGTATACATAATAAATAATAAATAAATCTTTAAAAAAAGAAAAGAAAAAGGTTCCCTTGGGCTGGCAAGATGACTCAATAAATAAAGATGCTTGCCACCAAGCTTAAGGGCCTGAGTTTGATCCCTGGGACTTCCAAGATGGAAAATGACAACCAGTCCCACAGGTTGTCCTCTGTCCTTCATATACATGCATGCACGCACACACTCATGCACACACGCACGCACGCACGCACGCACGCTTCTTGGTCATTGTAGATCAATCTAGTGAAAGACTTCACCTGTCTGTCAGAAGTGGAGGCTCCCGCAGCTTCTCTGGTGAATCCACTTCCCCTGACTGGAAGACCCTTGCGTTCCCACGCCATGCTCCATTCTCTCGGGTCTGCCAGGACACCTGGCAGCTTCCACTCCCCAGGCTGCCCTTCTCCTCTTAGGAGGTTACACGTTAAGCTTATCAAAAGCACTGGACTTTTTTTTTTTTTTTAATGTGAGTCAGTCTTTTTTTGGCTGGAGATCAGGAATAAACTATAGCTTCATGATAAAGACTGCCTCAGTGCAGCCAGCTGAGCCCAGCCGGCACCTGTAGTGGCAGAAGACGACACACTCACTGGGGAGGGATGTGCTGGACTTGACTCCACCCTATCCTCAGTGCTCTGCTCCATCAAGAGCAAAAAATAAACTTCTTTCTTTGAGGGTTTTGTGACCCTAGGTATGAAATCTGAAGAGATGCCAAATTTTAAAAAAAGCTAAACAAAAACCATTTGAGACAGGTTTTGCTAGGTAATCCAAACTGGCCTTAAACTCAATGTGTAGTCCAGGCTGTCAGTGAACTTGTGATCATCATGGCTCAGCCACTCAAGTGGTAGGTAGGATTATAGCCGTGGGCCACCACAGCCAGCCCAAAAGAATGACTTGAAGAAAGGAAGGGCTCACTTACATGGTAGATTAGACCAAAAGGACAGCTGGATACAGTGGTACGTGCCTATATTCCTAGCACTTGGGAAGTAGAGGCGGGAAGACTGACACAAATCAAGGCCAGCCTGGTTTAGATAGCAAGTTCAAGGACAGCCAGGGCTACAGAGTAAGACCTTGTCTCAATAAAAAGAAAGAAGCTGAGGACTGGAGACATGGCTCAGCAGTAAGAACACTTGCTGCCCTTGCAAGGGCCCTAGTTTGGTTCCCAGCACTCACATCAGGCTCCTTACAACTGTCTTAACTCCAGCTCCAGGGACCCAGTACCCTCTTCCTGCCTCTGTGGCTCCAGTATACACACATTCGTACAAAACAAGAAAAATAAATCTCTTCTTCTTTGCTCTTTTCCCCTTAAAGACAGGGTCTCTCTACCTAGCCCTATCTGTCCTGAAACATACTATGTAGAACAGGCTGGCCTTGAACTCACAGAGATCCGCCTGCCTCTGCCTTGTAAGTACTGGGATTAAAGGTGTGCATGCATCACCACACCCAGCCCCAAAATGTATCTTTAAAAAAGAGAAACAAGCAAAGAAAACATGAAAGGAGCTAATTATTGTAAATTATTTTAGTTTTATATTGTGAGAGTATTCTTATTTTTTCTAGGGGCTAACCTGAGGTTATTTCAAATGATTGTATGTGTATGATTTTCTTGTGGAGTGACTTGAAGGTGGGTTTACAGCTTTCTTACCCTCCCCCCTTCCCCTGTTGTTTTCAATGTGTAGGTGAAGGAAATCACCCGAGATATTAAGCAGTTAGACCATGCCAAGCGCCACCTGACCACCTCAATCACGACACTGAACCACCTGCACATGCTGGCCGGTGGGGTCGACTCCCTGGAGTAAGTAAGCAGAGTGAACTTTCTCAGGGAACCCATGCGAAATGTTCCACAGAAGGAGAGTGACTTCATGGAGTTATTCATTTCCCAGCCAGGCTAGCCTCACCATCCTGCCCCACTTTTGGAACACTGATCACAAGTGTTCAGTCACTTTTGGTGTTCACAACTTAAGAAAAGAGCTGGGGATGTAGCCCAGTGGCAGAGTGCCTGCTTGACATGCCCAAAGCCCTGGGTCCCATCCCCAACACTGCAAAAGACAACAAACATCTGCTTAATAAGAAAAGGATGGACAGATGACCTGAGGAGGCCACAGAAAGCCCATGAGAAGGACCCCGAGAACCGGGTGGTCTGGTGTGGTAGATCTAGACCAGTAAGTCAGACAGTGATGCAGCTCAGTCACTCCCCAGGGCCTCTGCCTTGGCAGCTGCTCCTCCTCCTCTTGGGCTGAGTTGCACCTCACCAAAGAGACCATTTGTAAACAAATCTTTGATGTATCATTCAACCCACTTTTTTTCTAAAACCCATGTTTTCAATATTGTAGCTTTCTGTTTAACACATTTAGAAACAGTATTAAAAGAAGTTGCTGGTTGTTTACCACAGAATAGTGATTCAAAACCTCCTTCTTTAGCACTCCGCTCCTGTCTGGTGTGTGTGTGGGGTGTCCAAAGCCTCCTCCTCCAGCACCCCACTCCTGTCGGAGGTATGGGGGGTGTCCAAAGCCTCCTCCTCCAGCACCCCGCTCCTGTCAGAGGTGTGGGGGTGTCCAAAGCCTCCTCCTCCAGCACCCCGCTCCTGTCTGAGGTGTGGGGTGTCCAAAGCCTCCTCCTCCAGCACCCCGCTCCTGTCTGAGGTGTGGGGTGTCCAAAGCCTCCTCTTCCAGCACCCCGCTCCTGTCTGGGGTGTGGGGTGCTCCGGCTGGTTCCCCTGCCCTAGTCATAGTGCAATTTCACATGTGGACAGACCAGCCATCTTCACAGACATGCAGATGTGGCAGCAATGGAGGCTACCCAGAAGGAAGGAGGAGGGGCTGCATCATTCCTAGCCTCTGCTGGGTCTACCATGGGTAACAGAGTCCCTGGTCCATTGCAGGAGTGATCACCCAGGGCGGGCAGCCAGTGGGACTCAAGAACCATCCTCCTCCTTCCTTCTGGGTCTTAGCAGGTAGCAATGGCAGTGGAGCACCGTGGCTTGAACTTGAGCCTTTCCTTGAAATGTCTCGAAGGGAAGTCATGAATTACACATTTAATGTGAAAGCCAACTCCAGTGGAAGATTCAGACCTGATAGTTTGTACTTCATTGCCATGTGTAACTGTTGATTTTATCAGCATCTTTTACTCAAGCTTCGTATTACCCTTAGCAGCAGGGCAAGTCGACATCTCTGATGCAGTTCTTTATCATTGGCTTAAAACTACAGATTGCAGTTAACGTGAAATCACAAACAGTCATCCTCTTTTGTATTCTAGAAAAATGGTTTTGTTCTCCTGTGCACCACAATCCTCAGCGACATTTTATACAATGGTCTTTAAAATGCAATGCCAACCCAAAGTCCCCTCCTGCTACCTGATCCATCCAGCACACACATTCTTTTGTGCCCTGTGGCATGTAACTTACATTGCTATTTAGAACTTAATTCACCTTCCTTGCTGTTAGTTAACCACTTACTTGACTCTCTCTTACTGAATGATGTCACCTGGAGAGTGAGCTAAATCCTTAGGTTTTTTCTTCCCCAGTGCTCAGCACCATACATATCCAGCACTTAGAGCTATCGAGGTCATCCCACATCTCTATCTTGTGTCTTCAGTGTTTGGTTTCTAGTCTCAACTTCTGTCCTTGCAGAGCCATGACCAGGCGCAGACAATACGGAGAAGTTGCTAATCTCCTTCAGGGTGTCATGAATGTTCTGGAGCACTTTCACAAGTACATGGGGATCCCACAGATCCGGCAGCTTTCTGAAAGGTAAGATGTCCTCACAGACGCTTTCCATAAGAAAAGATGGTTCCATATATTTCCCCCTTAGTCTAGGAAGCAGCCTCAAATGTTATGTGACCTCACTCTACGATACTCTTTCCCTTGGCTTTGGAGGCTGCCCAAGTCAGCAAGTACACTCCTATGTCTGTTACTATGCACAGCTCTCCATGGTCCACAGAACTTGTTGGCCTAAGTCAGTTATTTTGCTCATGAAACTTGGCCGGCCTTGGATAATAATGTGTCTCTGCTCCATGCACCACCAGTTAAGGCAGCTGATGACGGACCCGAGCAGCCATCGGCTGCTATGGCTGCCACATGGTGTTCACTGTCAGCTGGGAGCTCAGCCAGGCCATGGACTGCGATCCCTGTTGTTCTCGTGGGCTACTCAGGCTTTCTCAAAGTAAGACAGCTGGGGTCTAAGGATGAGTGCACCAAGAGACTTGGCCTCTGAAGTCACGTGCCATCACAAAACCATTGAGATTCAAGAGGAAAAAGGCATGTTTTCCCTTTTCTCTCTGATGAGAGGAATGTCAAAGGCACATTGGTGAAAGCAGTGTGTTTGATGGGTGGATGCTCTGGCAGTTTTTAGACAATACAGTGCTGTCACCAGAACATCACATATCACAGTGATGAGTTTCTTTCCGAACTTGTTCTTTCTTCTTACCATCCTGGAGGTTTCCCCAGAATTTCTTTTCTTATTTATATTTTATGTCTGAGTTTTTTTGCCTGTACATACATATAAGCACCATGTCTGTGGGCCACACATGTGCCTGGTGTCCATGGATGTCAGAAAGAGGCATCAGATCCCATAGAACTGGAGTTACAGATGTTGTGAACCACCACGTGGGTGCTGGAATGGAACCTGAGTCCTCTGCAAGAGCACTAAGTGCTCTATCCGATGGCTATCTCTCTGGCCTCTGCCCTTAAGTTCTGATCCCAGATTCAGATCCAATGAAAAGAAAGACAGATTCGTAGGAGGAAGAGACTTCTGGAGAAGGAGGGACAGTGAGTTCAGTGCCTCTTTGGCCCCTCCTGTTAGAGGGAACATCAGAAAGCAGAGGCAGGGGGAGGAGGCAGCCCTTGCAGCACTGTTCCCCTCCTGCCCTCTTAGGAAGGCCTGCTGTCACGTACTTCTGTCCTCTCATGTTTCGTTATCTAATTATACAAGTCATATAAATGTGCGATTGCTTTTATTTAAAAAGTCTAAACTAGCCTCGTGGCGGCGGGTGGCGCACGCCTTTAATCCCAGCACTTGGGAGGCAGAGGCAGGGGGATCTCTGTGAGTTCGAGGCCAGCCTGGTCTACAGAGAGAGTTCCAGGACAGGCACCAAAACTACACAGAGAAACCCTGCCTCGAAAAACCAAACCAAACAGTCTAAACTAGATATGTGTGGCTCACAGCTGTCGTCCAGTACTCAGAGGTTGAGCTAGAGGACTGACTGAGTCTGAGGCCAGCCTGGGCTTCCGAGTGAGAACCTCTTTCAAAACACTAGCAAAGAAAGAGACAAAAAGTAACCAACAGGTGTGTGCAAATTCCCTTAGCTTCATTTCCAACCCTATTGCCGTGCTGGAAGGAGGAACTGCTACAGCTTATTGGCGTTCCCTTCAGATTGTCACTGCACACTAACTACACTGTTTGTGGAGCTGCTCATTCCGTGTCTGGACTGCCATGGGAGAGCACATCCCAGACTAGTTTGCTATTTCCATGTCCCTGGACTCGTTCTTCTGATGCTCAAAAAATACCTCCTTTCACACATGTGCAAGTAGAGTAAATTCTAGGTCCTAAGGTTACATGCATTTAAAATTTAATAACCACAGCTCATTTACTCTCCAAAAAAGCTTAATAGATTCACAGTGCCATCTGGAAGTGCTTGAGTACCTGTTTCTCCAACCTTCAACAAATTAGGCATTGTTGGTTTTCATTTTATGCAATCTGGTTGATGAAAGTCACTACTTGCCCCCTTTAATTTTAATTTCCTCAATAATTGGTGATTGACTATATTTCCTCTGTGAAGTATCTTTTTTGTTGTTGTTTTGGTTTGGTTTTGAAACTTGGTCTCACTATGCAGTCCTGGCTTCCTGGAGCTCACTCTGTAGACCAGGCTGAACTTGAACTCAGAGATCTGTCTGCCTCTGCCTCCTGAGTGCTGGGGTTAAAGGCGTGCGCCATCACTCATAGCTCAGATTCCTTGAGTTCTGATAAACTGTTTTCTTTCATCTCTTCCCTGGGGTGATCCTGTGATGTGTTTCTTCTGCTCTGTCTTTGTGGAACTCTCTACTACATGACCACTGTAACTTGTAATCTGTGGTGCAAAGCTGCTTTCTAATTCTCTGCCTGTTCCTTTGGGGCTCCTTCTGGATCATTGGCTCTGTCTTCCTCTTCTACCTTGGTCTTCACTGGTGCCCATTCTGTTCTTTGGCCCAGCTGTCACATTTTTTTTTTTTTATCTAACAATACAGTTTTTAATTTCCACCTAGATGATTCTTTCCTCAGGGGCATAAAAGTGCCCTCTGTAATCACTAGAGATTTAGAACTCTAAATATCTCTGAAGGCTCTGAGTTGCTGTGTGTCTGTCTGTCCTGTGGTGTAAAGTCTTAGTTTGTTGACTCTCTTCATAGTAGCACTCTTCAGATGTTTAGTGATTCTCAGCTGAAAGCTTATATTTTTGGTGGGATTTTTGAATTTTATTCATTCATTCACTCATTTATTGGTTTTTGAGGACAGGGTTTCTCTGTGTAACAGCCCTCACTATCCTGGAACTCTCTTTGTAGACCAGGCTGGCCTCGAAATGACGGAGATCCACCTGCCTCTGCCTCTTGAGTGCTGGGTTTACAGGCATGTGCCACCTCTTCTAGGCCTTTTTTTTTTTTTTTTTCCCTAATGTTCTTGTTACTCTGATCAGAAATCACTGCCATCTGCTATTAGAGAGAGGAGGGATGTTCTGCTTAAGGGAACACAACCTTAAGCAGGTTCTAGGGGCCAAACCTGCAGGCGCAGGCAGTTGGTATGCCAGAGGCCTGATCTTCTTAAATAGTTTAACCCTTGGCCCCCTGCTGAGTGCTGGGTTTACAGGCCCACAGACTCAAATCAGTGTGTGAGCATTTAGGGTAAGGATGCAGACACAGCTTCTGGCATCCACAGCACTGTGATTTGAGCCAAGTAGATGCTTCTAGAGCTTGCCTTCAGAACTCCCTCCTGCTCCTGGTATCTACCACTTCTTGTCTTTATATTTTCTTTTGTTTCAGATATGCCATTATTATTATTATTATTATTATTATTATTATTATTATTATTATTATTATTATTATATATGCAGTGTTCTGCCTGCATGTGTCCCTGCAGGCCAGAAGAGGGCACCAGATCTCATTACAGATGGTTGTGAGCCACCATGTGGTTGCTGGGAATTGAACTCAGGACCTCTGGAAGAGCAGTCAGTGCTCTTAACCACTGAGCTATCTCTCCAGCCCTAGATATGCTTTTTTTCATTTTTTGTGTGTGAGCATTTTGCCTGTATCTATGTATGTGCACTATGTGTGTGCCTGGTATCTGTGTTGATCAGCAGAGGGCTTTGAATCCCCTGGAATTAGTCACACAGGCAATTGTGAGCCACTATGTGGATGCCGGGAACTGAACCCAGGTCCTCTGCAAGAGCAACAAAATGTTCTCACCTGCTGAGCATCTCTGCAGCCTCTGTGTCTTTTCATTTTTGAGAAGCATCCTTAGGCTTTGATTTTCTTCTTTATCTTATTCTGCCAGGAAACCCACAGACTATCTAGTCTGTCACCCCCTTTCTTGCCTGGCTTTTGACTCCTTCCTATTAGATCTTTTCATAATTTCTAAGAATATGAAGCAGGAAGGGAGGTTGCTGCATGTGCTGGTATACCGTCTTACAGTGGAGATGTCCAGGGATTGTTAAGGAATGTCGGAATAGGTTTGGCAAAGTGCTAGGGAAATCGCCACCCTTCCCTTGTCCTTCCTAACCCTTTACACTTAGAGGTGGCTGGTTGCCATATCAGACTGGGAATGTGAACAGCCAGGAATGCCCACGGGCAGGACTTCACGAGTCTAGGAAAGAAGGACGGCGGGCGGAGGAGGCAGGCTGCCCTCAGTGGGTCAGGAGGAGCGGGAGGTAGCACAGCCTGCTCTAGTCTTGGGGTAACTGACTCAGTGATCTGTTGCCATTCTTTCGTTTTCTCTCATCTAGCTAGCAGACATGTGCTGTGTGCCTTCTGTAGCCTAGGCCCTGTGGATGCTCAGCACGTGCTCTTGCACTGAGCTACAGTCCCAGCCCTGTCACCCCCTCTCCCGATTTTTCTGATCCATAGTTAGATTAGCATGGCAGTTCAGGCCCTCAGACACTGAGAGCAGCTGCATTTGACTTTAGATTTTAAGAGTCTGCACCTAAGAGAGATCACATCATATTTATCTTTGTGTGTCTGGTTTATTTCATCTACTCTTAAGTCCTTCGGGTTTATCTATATTGTTGCAGATGTCAGCATCTTCTTTTTAAAAGCTGGATAAAATCCCACCGCATATATGCACTGTGGTTCTTTGACCCATATCTGTCCATCAAAAGACACGTTTGTTTCCGTATCTGGCCTGGTGCAAACCTACTGCTGTGAGCAGGGCAGGGCAGCTGTCTGTAGGGTGTGGAATTCATCTCCTTTGGGGACATAACCTGTGTAGATTCATGGGCAGTTTTTGAGAACTTCATATCATTTTCCATCATAGCCTCACCAATTAACGTCTCTGCCAGTGGTAGTCAAGTATTCTCATCCCACACCCTCACCAACACTCACCATTGTCCTTTTGAGATTAGTCATCCTGGTGATCTGGAATCTCAGGTTTGGAGGCAAAGAGGGGAAAGTCGGGAATTAGCTACAAGTGAGGCTTTATCTCAGTGAGGCTTGGTCTTCTTAAATCTATTTGTGTGTGTGCATGTCTGTGTGTACTTGTTGGACCCCTTGAAACTGGAATTAATGGTGCT